GGCTGCGATGCTAATGCTAATGTTGTTAGCACAGGTAGCTTCCCTTTACAGCAGCAGAACTAACCTCTCGCTCTGGGCACAAACAGACTGCTGTGTCTTCAGGGCCAGACAGGTTTATCTTCTGTTTTCTCAATTCTTCGCTCAAAGTGCCGTATTTTTCGCCGAGTCTTGTAGTTTAAGATGTTATTCCTTCAGCACCGCTCTGGTGGAGCCACTACAGACGCACTGGACTCACCCCTGAGCGCGGCGCTGCGGCGTCGCGGCGCCTCGCGGCGCGGAGCCTCGCGTCGCGGAGCGGCTTTTTAAAATGTAACTTTATTATATTTTTACATAAATGAGCCACGGGCCGTGTCAAATCTCTTGGCGGGCCGGTTCCGGCCCGCGGGCCGTATGAATGACACCCCTGATATAGATGATATATTGTTAAAATGAGGGCATCTGTTCTTGAGAACAGCCAAAGAGATCATAAACAAAGGTTATCATCCCCAATTATTTATTTCTATTGATATAAATTCTATGCAGCAGAGTTGGACATTATCAACTTGATACTACATTAAATAACATAGTTATTTTTTATAACAATTATAGTGCTTAAAGCTTGGGTATATGTTTACCTATCCTCAGGTGGAAGGTCTTGAGCATCCATTCCTACATCGTAGTCATATGGTTGGTCAAAATGGTTTAAAGCAAAAACATATTCATGTATCAGAAAAGTCCAGCAAACGTCGTCACCAAATTAATTTCTACTTTGATTGCAACAGAAGAGGTTCCATAAAGTATTGACTCATGTTGTATGAATACTTGCGCAAACCCCACATAAAACAATAACAAAATCATGCAGATACTTCACTTCTGTTGTCTTTCAGAAAGAAAAAAAAAATCTTACGTCCTAACCTAATTCTATGACAAGGTCTGACACATAAAAAGCGAAGGCAGTTTCATGCAGTTTGTAGGTGATAAGTTTGCATTCTTTGTAAACTACCTCTTGACCAACATCTGGTAAATGAGGTTTGATAAATTTGGCTTCCATGCGAACATGAAATGCATCATAAAAAATACGCCAAGATAGAAAAGGGTTCAAAGGTGACATGGGCAGTCAATGTCCAACACTTCAGAAGACTACCTAAATGACGTTGATCATACGCTCTAAAACCGCATTAATGTTGCGGCTCAAGTTTGAGATAAACAATGCATTGGCTTCATGAATCATGCCTCCAACAAAACAAATGTTTTCATGTCTCTTTGTCACGGAATAGTCGTCTGAAGTTGTGCCATGTAATCTAGCGCTTGCCCACAGTAGGACCTTCTCAAAGGGGACTTCGGCAGCACAGCCTGTCCCTGCTTCTGGTCTGCCCGGTGAGCAGTGAGTGATCACCTGGAAGTGATCACAGCCTAAAGCCACCAGACCTATTGATGCTCTGCCAGTTCATAGTCTTCTTTGCTGCATATATTCTTTGGGTAAATATGGAAAAGTTTAGACCAGAGACATTGCTCTGGCCAGTGACATTTTTATTCTGTCTAGAATTTATTACATTTTGAAACATGTATTTACTCCATGTAATGATTAGAATACGGTCTTTGGAATTTTCAACTTCACATTTTCTATTTTTTGTCTCAGCAATAAGAGTCTATGAACAACCAATTATATACTAGAAAAGTGTAAAGCCAACCAATTACCCATCACAGCACCTGGCTGCCGCCAAATGCTGTACAAATGTACATTTTTGGTGTCTGTGCTTTTCTTGCATGTGCAACCTATCATTTTAATAATCCACAGCATGTTCCGCCAAATGCTGCTAGTGACCTTAAAATGTGTCGATCACAGGACATATGAAAACAACCAAGATAATTTTTTCTCATGAGATGATGAAAAAAAGTATTGTATTTCAATTGTTTCTCAGTCAAATTCAAGTCAAAGTTGGCGAGAATTTCTCCTGTCTGGCAAAACACACTTTATTGTTAAAAGTTCTCGCACCTCAACATTTCTCTGGTTGTGTTCTTTTTTCATTGATTTTTTTTTCTGTGGCTGACGGGTGGAAGAGGTTACAGCTAATACATTATATAATTATTCTTGATGCATGTTGAAAGCAGGAGCTTGTAACACCACAGCCTTTTATAAAAAGAAGCCCAACAATTACTCTAACGCGCACAAATCCTATTCCTTTCTATATACTGTTGACCTGACCCGAGTACATTTTACTAGTTCCACAGATTCCGTGGATTCAATGGAAAGGGGCGTGCTATGGGTGGAGGGACATTCTTTTCTGTCTTGCAATACATGGTTAGAGGCTAGATAATGTTAAAAGGAGCTGTTCTTAAGGAGAAAACAGCGTGATGCTAAACACATAAAAAGGCATCCAGCTGTATGTTTCTCCTCAACTTCTGAATCTAGCACCAGGAGGGACGAGATCTGGTCGGGAAGTATTGCTGCAAAGTGAAAAGTGACTCATCAATCACCTGGGGCAAAAAGGATGTCCGGAAATATCCACATTTTCCAAAAGAGTCTGACGCACTGTAATGACTCAAGGGTCTTATTTAAGGGTTTATGCTGGCACCCATCAAACAAACTGACTCAGTAGATATACAGGTATTCTTTGTGATGAATATTTAATTAAAGTAACAGTAATTTGTTTTATCTTGTTTTTTGTAATTAAAAAAACAATCCAAACTTGTTTCCAGTGTCCCTGCATGTAGATCACCAAATACAACACTCCAACTTTATAAACAAAATATCCATCAAGCCGTTCTCTACTTAGTTGCTGATGCTATTGTCCTCATTATCAAAATATGAGCTCAACAATCACACAACTGTTAGGATCAACATTTTGATCAAGTGTTCAAATGAGCACAATCTCACTCTGCCTCGTTAAATTGCTGTTTGGTCATTTAATCAGCAGACAGTTAAGTATGAACTGCTGGTAGATTAGGAACCCGCAAACCAATTTACGCACAAACATTTTATATTAAAGAGCCCTTGCTCTGATGTGGTACCACTGAAGTAGATAAAAGACCAGCTGGATATCACCAAAGAATCTGGTAACCTATTAACTCGGTATAATCGGTTTTCTGATTGGTTAGTCTCTTTAAGAACCAAAATATGTTAAAATAAAGGTCAAATAGAATGTGTACATATGGGCCTTGTAAAACATATGGGCCTTACATACTGTCTATTTAAGATTTTAATGACAGTGACTATGTTGAGTCTTTACCTGAATGGAACCATTTAAACAGTGACAATTAGTGTATAAATTGCTTGATTTAGAGTTGAACATTGAACAGCACTGCCCTTCAAAAAGAACTCAATGTTGTGACACATTGATTATGTAATATTCAGAGTATGTGAGAAGATACATTACATTTATACTTAAAACCACAGCCCCCATGCTCCTTGGATGATGCTAAGCAGAACAACGTGAAGTGTTTCCTTTCAGCCTCAGCTGACCAGCAGAGGAAAAAATTAAGGGCCAGTGACTCAAAAGACTTAGAGGGGAGTCATAACAGGCCTGAGGAGCATTTAAAAAATAAATAAAAACATGTCTATGTTTGTCATAAGGCTTATGTAAGAGGAAGGTGAGATTCAATCATAAGATCAAGATTTGTTTGAAAGTTGATGAGAGACAAATTTATGTCAAACTTAAAGGTTAAGGCTCATTTATTCATTAAGTAGATGCATGCAAAAATACTATTTTCAAAAGTTATTTAATTTTTTTGTCCTCGAAAAAAAGTATGTTGGATTAACCTCTGAGCACAGATTGATAAAATGTTGATCCATCTCACCTTAAGAAGAAAACAATTTTGATGTCACCTTCAAAATGTATGTAATGGCACACAAAGCCCAGGCAGAGTTGGGCAAAACCACTACCACGCCACACTGAGGACCACATGAGAACTTTAAATTTGTAAACCTGAGCAGCAAAACGCTGTCATTTATTTGTTGTATATGACTCCTTGTAATGTATGCTAGAGCCATTATATTGATGATTATATTCAATTATCAATTAATCTATTTTTCCCCCTTTGATTAATTGGATTTGTTGTTCAGAACGCAGATATGTGACTTGTGACGCAGAAAGGGTTTATGTGAAGTCACTGGATGGCAAGCTAATATTAGTATTTATAACTTCTTTATATAGCATACAACTTTATCAATTTAATTCTAGCAACACTTAAATGAGCATACAATGTTGTTGTAAAAACAACAACAGAAAAGTAATTTTCAAAAGTATTGTAAACTTCAGCCCTAATTAAAAGTACTTTCTTGACGTGTGAGGGCCCCATTTACTGACAGCCCTGAGGTCAGGGGCAAAACCATCATTAAAAAGATGATTAAAGCCTTAAAAAGGAGGAGGAAGAAATTACATGCAACCACTCTAATGATTAAAACAAGCAACAAAAATAGTTTAGCTCTTTAGTCCATGCCACAGTTAGGGCATTCTGTCAAGAAGTAATAAAGTGAACACGCACAGTTAGGAGAGTCTGGTTTGCCTTCTTCTAATCTCTATAATGTTACCCTTCCACCATTAAAACATCTTTGGGGCCCAGAAAGCTTCAACACCTGACAGAAGTTAGAAGTAAAGGGCCAAAACCTAAGAGCATTGAGAGAAAGTAAGGGGTGGGGGGGGCAGGGGAAGGTCCTCCACCCAGACTGTCAGTACAGTGTGCTCTCAAAAGGGAAGGGGGTGGACCCACGTGCACAATATTTAAGATGCTCAGTTTGAGGAGGGCTTCACTTAGGGAATATTACGCCTAGGTGAGCTACCCTAGGACAGCATCTTTTTAAAGACTTGGAAAAAAATATACATTTACTTTTTTTAAATACTTTTACAGAGACAATGAAATTCCACTTGATCTTGGAGGTTGCATTGCTTCTTATAGCAGTAACATTGGCACAAAATCCTAAAAAGAGACTTCAACCACCAAAACCATCAAAAGCTCAATGCTGCGACGAGGTGCGATCGTTGAAGGTACAAGTGGCCAATTTGACCAGTCTTGTGGAGGAGATGAGCCGTAAACAGGAGACAGACCTGATGAATGTGGTGAGGCAGATTATGGACTTGGACCAGCAGAACCGGCAGCAGGAGGCTCGTGTGACCGAGGCCGAAAGCAAGTACTCCGAGATCAACAACAGAGTGGAAATCATGCAGCTGCAGACTCTACAATCTGCCACGCAGACCTCATCAGGTGAGACCGCGCACTCAAATATCAGAAAGTGCTAATTCTGAAGATACTGATGTGGGAGAAATGTGTTTTTCAACAATTAGTGAAAATAGTAATAATAGAATAATTAATGTTTAATTTGTTTCTGATTATATACACATTAATGTTACAATTGAGGCCTGAAATATGCTCGTAAGAAAAGATAAGATACTCCTTTATTCGTCTCACAGTGGAGAAATTTCAGTGTCATTGTATTTGAAAACAAAGATTACATTTTATTAAAACAAATATATATATTGAAAGGGGAGAAACAAAGATATTCACCATGGCCAAACAATTGCATTCCATTATTTTTTTCTAATTCCACTTCATCTAAATGTGTGCTAATCAGTAGTGGCGGCTGGACAGAGCCGTATCAGGCATGACGTAATTGATTATTTGTGGCTTAACAGTGGACTTCACAAAGAGCACTGTGTCAGTGGTTACCAGAACAGAGAGACCTTTTTGCAAAGTGGTGAAGTAAATTACAGACAGGAGAAGCAGAGCAGGAAGAGATTAAAAGGCGATGAGGGGCCACACAGACTTGTTCTCTGAGTTGTAAATGTTTTGTCTCACTAAATGCACCATAATGACATTGCCATATTGGAAGAATAAACCAAAATTTCTTGATTTTCTTATGTCTTTTAGTGGGTTGAGGGTTCTTTTCTCATCTGGTCAATCGTTCCATGAAGCTGAAACAATTTACAACATATTTCTGAAACCCTCATAAAATACATATGGTTTGAGCATAACTTAATCTTTCCCTCTCCAGATGCCATATACGATTGCGCTTCACTCTACACCAGAAACTATAGGATCTCTGGGGAGTACAAACTGCCTAAAGATGATTTTCTGGGAACACCTGAGCTTAATGTAAGTACACAATAAACTTTCAGCACATTTGAACTGACTTAAGTCTGACTCTGTGAACTTTGAATTTAGGTTTACTGTGATATGGAGACAAAGGGGGGTGGCTGGACAGTGATTCAAAGACGCAAGATCGGCCTGACTTCTTTTAACCGCGATTGGAAACAGTACAAGCAAGGATTTGGATCCATCCGCGGAGACTTCTGGCTGGGCAACGAGCACATCTTCCGTCTTACCAGGCAGCCCACTGTGCTGAGGATCGAGCTCGAGGTAACTTCTCCAAAAAAATAGTTTAAAATATAGCTAAGAATGAGACATCATAACGACACTGCTTGTAATAGTAGTCATAGTAGAATAATTGCCAATAAATCAAAGAAGCGACCCTAAATCATACGAAATGTGTTTTCCAATGCAGGACTGGCAAGGGTTGAGGCGGTTCGCAGAGTATGGCTTTTTCACTGTGGCTAATGAGCTCAACAGCTACAAGCTCTTTATTGCCAACTACACTGGCAACGCCGGAGACTCCCTTCGCTACCACAACAACACCAACTTCAGCACCATGAACAAGGATAATGACAAGTGTGTGGACGACTGTGCCGCACTGCGCAAAGGTGAGGCGGTCTTTACGTGGAAAAACTAAATATCCCTTTGCAACAGGCGCAGCACAAAAGTTAACACTGTGATTTCTTTAACCTCGTCTAGGTGGCTACTGGTACAACTGCTGCACAGACTCCAACCTGAACGGAGTGTTTTATCGCTACGGTGAGCACACAAGAAACTCTGATGGGATCACATGGTACGGCTGGCACGGCTCCAACTACTCCCTGAAGAAAGTGGAGATGAAAATCCGTCCTGTAGGTTTTCATCCATAGGAGTCTCAAAAGTATCCTGAAGCTAGAGTGAATGAACGTTTTCAGAAATAATGGCGAGGCCGAACAGAGGCGTCAGAGTGGAACTAGAAAGAAATGGAAGATGCCATGATTGTTTAGTCAAATGAATGTGTCATGTGTTTACTTTGTACATTGTAGTTATTTTGTGTATTTATCGCTAAACTATTTTATTTTTGAAAAGCCTTCATGGATGCCTTTTTACCACTGTCTTTAAAGAATAACTGGAAATTGGTTTGTTGTCGTGTGTTTTGAAAGCACAAAGTTACAGGGATCATGTACCATCATGTAGGAGGTTAAATGGATGTATGAGAGAGAAAACTTGCTTTGTACAATACAGACCTGTTAAGACATTTAAATGTACAATGTAAACCGTTGATGCAAATGTGTCATTTGTAAAATGTGTACAGCTTTGTAATTATGTTGTTTATGTGATAGAAAATAAACATATTTTTAAAAGATGCTAAAACTAAGCAAATCTATGAATGTCAGACATTTTTTTAAATAGATTTTCCATTAGATTGCTTCAATAATTTATCTTTAGAGGATGTGAAAGTTATACAAAAGCAAAGAATACCTTAACTTGCCTTTTCAGACAAAAGTTTCATACACAAGTATGTGCTGTCAAGATCAGTGGCCCCTCTGGTTTGAACAAACAGTGGCTCCACATTTGCCAAATCACCTCTGACCTGTGCCCATACCTTCAAGTTGGGTCAAATGTCACATAACAATAAGGACCACACACAAACACATGCATACAAACACACACATATGCACACAAAATCATACACACACAAGCATACCCACACACATCTTAACCTCTATATAGTTTCAGTAGCATGAAAACAATACTAACCATGCTGTTTGTATACAAAAACCATTCAGAGTAACTTTTCCTGACTTCCACAGTGTCTCCAGGCTCTGCCATTACACCGAGTTGGATTCTTTGACTTTCACAAGGTGACAGTCAGTCAGCGTAAACATCTAATTAAAGCGACCCATCTCCTTTTAGGAAACCAACTACAGCAGAATAAGACTGGCTTTAAAAGGACCAGTGGACAGTGACAAATGGCCTGGGCTAAAAGTATTCAATGAGAGACACTGTTAAGAGATCAGCTGCTATCGAGTCTCCACAGAGGGGCTGTCTGATCTAAAAGCTAGCCCTAAGCTTTTTTTATGGAAACCAAGTGCAGTAAAAGGAATTTACAACCCTTTTTCCACAGGACCAAGAGCTGGCAATACTGCACTTATTACTTGGTCAATATGCAGGCTGAATGTAAATGGGATCTGACCTTGGGCTTTTAGCAGCGTTGTTAAATGCTTTCTCAAACAAAACAATCGGATTCAACAAGGCAGAGAAAGAGGCGTGCAGTTTTATGAGGTGTCAAAACATTTAAATGGGCTACATTAACAAGCTGGTCAATTAGGAAGTCAATTTAATTTGCGATGTTATGTTAAATAAGTAATTACCATTTATATAACAATTGGATTACGCATGCTATGCCATTATATAATCCTATAATGAAACCATGACAGCAGTTTCTGATATAGACGGGGTAAGAGTAATGAAGTGAGACATTTCTGAACCTAAAATATAATATATAATATACACTAATGTGAATCTAATTATATAATTGGAAGGCCAGAGTGAATATAACTTTCAAATAGTCATAGATCATCTTCGTCATAAAGAAAAAATATATATATTCAGAAATACATTTGTTTCATTTTCAAACATCAAAATTGTGTAATTGTCACCTGAATTAATGTAGAGTATACTTATTGTGACTGAATATTTAAAAGTTTTAACAATTCATTTTTATTTGCCTTTTTGCATTATTACATTGTTTACTATTTAAGTTTAGAGGGAGTATAAAGATTAATTCTATTCATCCTATAAAACAATTACTGCGATATTCCATTCATCTGTTTTACTTCCATTTCAGAGTAATATTGAAAAATGTGTTTTTGTCGTTAATGCCCACCGTGTTTATTAAAAAATGTATTCCAACATGAAGGAAAGATTAATTCATAGTTTATGGCAGAAACTAAGTCATCAGATTCTGCAAGTCTAACCCAAGTTCAACAAATACGTTCGAAAAATCAGACCAAACTCAACAAAACCTGAACCAGCAATTAATCCTTAACACAGCTGAATATGACCTGCAATTCTAATGCCACCATATTACGTCTCAATGCTCAATGCAAAAGATGTGCAAAATGGCTCAGGGGTTTTACTTTGTGCTATCAGCCAGTGCCACTATTTTATGGGAAATCCTGGAGAGGTGAGGAGCAGATGGTGATATTGAAAAGACTAGAGTGCCGGCTCCCATCATTCATCATCATCAAGGCTCCTGAGAAATTGAAAGCAGGCCCCAGAGAAACACAATTCCAGACACGAGCAGATGAAACAGAGGCAGGCGTCCAATTAGATGCCTGGGAAACAGATTTCTCAGTGCCATGCCAAAGATGGAGAAATAAAAGAGGAGGGGAGACAGGGATGGAAAATATGACAGCCGATATCAAAAGGGTTTGGTACTGAGGACATGAAGATTATCATTTACGGGATTTTATTAGATCAGGATTTGCAGACGTGTTCATATTTGAAAAGGAAGTCTAAACCAATGACGGTAAATCAGAGAGACAACTACAGAGCTACTTGTGAGAAAAAACATGCAAGGAAATGCTAGGTAATAAAAGTTAACCAATAGAATGGATTTGAAAATAAATTATCAATATCAAAAATGCACTGTTCCAAAAGAAGGAGCAGCCAATACACTATAGCAAAGTTTGAAGGTGGAACAAGAAACTGGCAGATTCAGGACCCAATGGATTTTCCTTCATAAGAGTACGCTTCCACGTCCTAATAGGCTGAGAGCATTGACAACACCCATCAGGGTTCCCTACCTAATGAGGGACTCCAGGATCAGAGGCGATGGTCCTTTCTGAAACTCCAGTTCTTTGTAGTGCAAAGCTTTGGCGTAGGCACGACACTTAGCAGCTCTCTCTCCCAGCAGCACAATTCCATTATCATCTCGCAGTGGCAAGGGCCCCTATAACAAAAAAACACTTTATAGAACTTATAAAAAAGTGTCAATTGATATAATAAAAGTATACTTTTTATTCAATTATACTTTTCATTATCATCTTTTCCCCCAAAAACAGTTACACACAGGTATTTTGTTGGACAGCCTCCAAATGTCTTAAGATGCCCCAATGACTGCGTATAAAGGAAGAGAATGGGGACTACACTACAAAATCGGACTCGGCTCCTAAACCGGTCAGACTCCTGTCCGAGTGTTCATGCAGGGCACAGAAACCAAATGAGCAGAGCATGCTTTGCTCTCAAGCACCTTTTAATCCTGCCTGAGCACTCCAACATTCTAACAAAACTGTAAAAATTAATTGTATAAAGTATACGCAGATTTTTGGTGAATGCAATCATAGTGTTTATGCGAGCAGTTGATTTACAAACAAGCTCAACTGCATGTTATTTATTTATTTAATCTAACCATGTTCAATCAATCAATCAATCAATCAACGTTTATTTGTATAGCGCCTTTCCTACACAAGGCAACGCAAAGTGCTTCACATCCCCTATCACATCATGCATAAATCAAACACATTAAGAGCACAGGATATATTAAAAACATTAAAAGTAAAATCACAAAAATTAAAAACCTTTAAACATTAAAATCACAGATGGGACTAAAATCATAAATAGTCACAGTGCATTAAAAAGATTAAAGATAAAAACAAAGATGAAAAGATAAAATCATTCAGTTGTATATGCGCAGCTAAACAGAATTGTTTTGAGCCTAGATTTAAAGGATGCCAGAGTAGACGCCTGTCTCACATTCTCAGGAAGACGGTTCCAGACTCTAGCCGCATGAATCTGAAATGTTGTCTGCTAAACAACATTAAACAATGAAACTGTGTACATCATTGCAATGATCAAAATGAGTGAGTCTCTTTGCTTCACAAAACTTACATTTCTAATATTAGTATAGCTCTTCCCGGTGAGATAAAATGCATCGTTGAACTTTTTGGTCACTTTTATCAATGTATTTATTTGAATGGAACCATGTGAATTACTGCTCAGCAGTTGTTGTGGTTCTGTAAATACACCAGCTTTAGGTAAAAGCGAGTTTCCATCTATTACATGTTGGAGGAACAAGAAAAGTACAGATCACTGGACTGGATCTTCACACCTCAATCTAATAAATCTGGACTAGGTGAATAATCAGGTATATATTGTAGGATGGAAGATGCCTCTCTGCCCCGAAGGGTCCCATCAGTGAATGTGGTTCGGCTTCTAAAACTAAGTGAGTGAATTAGGGAGTTTCTGTGATTTCAGTTACCTAGTCCATATTGAGAATAACGACACAATTAAAGTAAAGTAAACAATAAGTAATCTAAATGAACTGAAACTAAATGAAACCAACAATAAACCTTTTAAAACTAGAAAATGCAAAACAGCTGCAAATAAAAAAAGATGCCGTTGATGCTCAGAGACTGAAAGTTGAAGCAACGGGTTTCTGGATCTTTTGAGTGACAGGTGCAATGGAACTGTGCAGCATGAATGGGCTTACTGATGACTGATGATGAATGAATAGAGAATATGGCTGATTTTGGTTGGCTACCCTTCTGATAAAGTTTGATGTGCAAGCTGTGAGCGCACAAACCTTGTCACTATGCTCCATGAACTCGGCCAAGTTGAGCAGTGTCTGGGTGACTTCTGCGATGTCCTGCGATGTTAGTGCAAGCTCAATGCTGCGGATCAGCTCATCCTGCTGGTCCTCGCTCAGCTCCGACCAACACGACAAGAACGCTGCATTGAACAGGTCTCTGCAGGGAATGGAGCAATATTGTGGTCGTGAAGAAAAAGAAAGTTCATGGAGTTTGATTTAAGGCAACAATATTAATTTAAAATATTGCTAACCAGCTTTAAACGTACTATGTAAGAACGTATAAATGGTCAAAAGATTCACAGTGGTTTATAATTTAACTCTAAATGCATGATGATTACAAAATTATAACTAAAATAGTAGTCGAGTATATTGCATTTGTATACCTGTTGTTGTGACATGCTGCTTAAGTTTATGAAATCATATTATTCTTGGTGGAGATCATATAGATGCTTTGAAAAATAAATACAACAGATCAGACTAGAAGAGAGATTATTCCCTGATCGCAATTGTTCCCATAATTGAAATTATGGGAACGCAACTCAACATCTGGAAGCAACTATCTCTGACAACACCAGCTAAAATTTCAATGCTTGACTTGTGGTTTTTGTTGAAGAGCAGACAAACCTCCATTTGTTTTGACTATTTATCACTGACCTCAGCCTGTGCATTATGTCATGCTGTGGCTACGGAGCACGAAGCACTAAATTGGTTGATGAAGCCTTGGTACCTAGCGAGGGGTATGTAGGTCTGTGCCAGTGACCAGCAGGAGCGCAGAGCGGGAGAGGAGGATTCTTTGAGCAGGACGACGCTCAAACGACGCAGCCACTCCAGCCAGTCGTCCTTGGACACTTTTCTGGCTGCGCCCCAGGCCTGTGGAGGGACAGAGGGTCAGAGAGAGCACAGAGGAACTTTCTCTCCTGATGAGGATATGGGTAAATTAGTTTTGGTTAAAAGTGATGTTGACAACTTAAATTGTAATTAAATTTGAAAATAATACATATTTTTGCCTATAGTATTATCTATGATAAGTATTTTTGATAAAAGATTTAAAGCAGTCATTCCTCTTGAAAAACGCATCACCAGAAAATAAAACAAAATATTCTAAAATATTATATAATTGATGTTTCGTTACATTTCAAGACCAATTTTTATCAATTTTAATCAATTTAATCAACACTGTTTCTTTAGCGAGGCCCGAAAATCATGCATTACCTGATGAAAGGAATATTGAAATGAACTGAAAAAATCCAAGTCATACATTTACAATGTATATTTTAAATTACAATTAGCTTTTCCAGAATCCCAATTCTGTTTTGAACCAATACTAAGCTTTAGTTTACCTACTTAAATAATAATTACTTTGTGAAAAATAAAAAATAAAATGCTGATTATTTTTTATATCATATTTGTAAAATGTTGGGGGTTTTTTGAAGAAAAAGAAGGTTTTGCTTCAAACTAATGACTTTACTGCTTTGTGTAGACATGGTATGACAACTCTGATCAATGTAGCATTCAGTGGTCTTTCTCATTTTTCAGCCTGTCTCTCACAGATAAACTGTGGTTGCTGCTACACTGTGTTGTTTACTGTACTCTGTGGGTTTTCGGTGAGACAAACATTGGACATGTGGCATGCACCCTGCAGCATTTATGCAATCACACGATACCTCTATAAAAGACCCATGTCTAGACTCCCTCTGACCTTCTGCAGGGCTGTGGTGCTGACGTGAAGCTTCTTCATCGGCCCCGCCTCCACAGGCCCGCTGACCAGAGCATCGCCATGGTTATTGCGGAGATGGCGATTCTGGAAGATTAGAGGGTCCTCTTCCTCTTCTGCCAGAGTGTAGCCCTATTGTGAGCACAGAAACAACATCCCTCAAGCCCACACACAAACAGGCCACACACGGAGACGCATCAGACTTCACAACAAGTGCATTTCCTCATCTGGAAACAGGAGAAATGGCTCACCGACTTGTGAACTGGAAAGTTTATGAGAGTTCATTTGAGGATTTTGGTGCGGTAGCAATCAAATACAAATATTAATTCACACACGCAACTTTTTCTCGTAACAACATGAAAACTGGTTATAAATGCGGCTATCATTGCCTATATGAAGAACTCAGGTTTAGAGTCTTTCAAAAGTCAATATATTAATATTTTACATAATAGACAGTGCACTTGATTGCCACATGCTTTTCCAGGAATTGATTTTAAAACTACATTTGTTTAGTGTGCAGATGAGATTGTTTTCATTCTAAATATGCAAGATGAATCGAGGCTTTAGTTTCTCTGAAAAGTTTGTCCAAGTTTAATGACACTAATAACAACAGTGTGTCACATGATAATGTGACATGAACTCAGTTGATAACATGATACAAACTTGATGGTAAAGGCAATGACTTTTACCTTTACAATGCGACATATCAGGATGTCGTAGCGCTGGTGGTTGATTCTGTGCTTGAGCATCACTTTGTTGACCATGGGGATAAAGATCTGGTACTGCAAAATGAGAGGAAAGGAAAGCAGAGTAAATAAAAGGGCTACCTCCTTGCACTGCTATAAACTAAATGACTGAGTATCCTAGACTTGTATCCAAGTGTTATGAGCTCCACATCAAAAGCCCAGTCCTCATATGTGTTGCCAGATGTGCTTCCACATAGATTGCTGAGGTTGTGGGGTTAGAGCTGGGGGGATGTCGGTGGGGAGCGGTGACTTCATCCCCCTCATAAACACCAAACCCCTCCCTCTCACTGTCAAACAGTGAATGACATCAGTAGTCTGGCAGGAAGCAGTAAAGATTTGAGAGTTTTGAGTGGCTGTCGAAATAGCGAAGACAACAGGGGAGCCTGTGAGGAGACTACCGGATATAAAAGCAGCAACAACTAATTGCTGCTTAGTACCAGTAACTCAAGGAGATGCTCCCAGTAGGGCTGCAAATATCTACTAAATTGGTATTTCCACATTCTATTTTCTGCTCAAGCTCTTATTGTTATCTTGTTAAAATGTTTTGGCTGCCATCTGCTCTGATGATTTGAAAAAAAAAAAAACAGTATTCTAATCCTTTTTTTAACTGAATAACTTGATTGAGTCAGTTAATATTCAGCCCTATTGATGTTTCTGATTTATATCTATGCATAATCAGAAAAATGAGGCATCATGGAATGACAAATAAAATGAGATCATCAATGGCTACCTTCTTTCCCAGCTGGAACACTAGACTGGACAGAGTGTCCATGGAGGTGGATCGGAGATCGGGTGTTGTGTCCAGCGCCCTGACGATTGGGTGGATAATACGTGAAGCGTAGTCAGTGAAGTCCAAGGAGTCAGTTAGTCGGTCCAGTGTTTCCAAAGCAACCCTGAACGACACAGAACAAACATAGACGTGATTAAACCCTGGGACATGGAGACAAGTAGAACTGTTAAGAGATCCTGTAAAAGGATTGAAGAGTCTGTCAAAACTTTAAAATCACACTGAGCAACTGTAAAAGCTACAAGCAGAACTCAAAGTGAACAGAAAACTTGAAGGTCCAGCTGGCAAAAGCACCAGCATACTTTGATGCAACCATTTAAAGTTCTTTAATCCTTTTAAATGTATTTGATTTACATGCAAGTCCTGCTGCTGTGAAGCTGTTTGTCAAAGTTTCCTTTCATGAAGCGTTTGTGTATAGTGGAAACTCGCAGTCTAATGTTTGGACCTTGACTCTGAGTTTATTATTACAATGAAGGATCTCCTGTGCTCACTTAACAGGTCATTTAATAACCTACTGTATGAACTCAGTGATATAATTATAAAGTCTACTTTAATGTATTTTAAAGCTTGTGAAGAATGAACAAAAACACCACAGGTTATGAACATCTTTGTCATTGAAGAGTGAAAGTCTTGTAGCTTTTATAAAAATGGGTTCAGCTTTCTACAAACTTACTTTCGGGCCTGCAGGGGCACATCAGGAGCATCAAACAGCTTTACAATTGGAGGTAGCAGCAGGTGAAGGTAGTCATCCAGATTGGCTCCAAACAGTTGAATGGCATTGAGCAGCTTATAAAAGAGGTAAAACGTAATATAAGAAGAGAAAAACATCTGCATATAATGATGCTAGACATAATGTGTCATTTGTGTTGCAGCATAGGCCATTGCAAGCAAATAAAGGCCTGATACAAGGAACTTAAAATGAACACGAGCCAAGTTCTTAGGATTAGTAATATACTGGTTATTGCAATTTCCAAAATTAAAAAAACATGTATTGAAGAATTCTGAGGTTTCTCACTTTTTTCCAGTGGATTTTAGAGTTTTCTTTGCCGATGCAGGAGGGTCTGTAAGATTGTTTGAGGGTCTAACTAAAAGGACTGAGGTGAAGATCCAGGGCACTCAACCAATGTCCAATATGTGTTGATAAATGTCCATAAAGGTTGTAGAATGTTAACTGTTCTATTCTCTGATCTGTGTTGGTGAATTCAACGTTTTAGTTAAAATATTTAATTGAATTGAAATTTTGAAGTGTGATTATGAAGTCTGATCTTATTGTTTAGTGGGGTATGCTCAAAAATAGGTCATAACTTCTTCACTTCCTGAGAAAAATCAGGTCAGGAAACTTGCTTTGAATGTTGTCACTGGAATCCCCCATCACACCGCTATATGACAGCTTATAAAGAACAGACTTGTTGAGCTCCAGGCTAGTATTGCCGTGGTGCCCTGTTGGAACATATCCAGCATGGCCTCCTGCAGATATGAGCTCCATGACGTATGCAACAGCCCCCTCCTCTCCTCTCCTCTCCTCTCGCCCCTGTGTCTGATGTGCATATGGCGAGACAGCAGGAAGCCGTGGAGGTGTACAAATGCGCCTGGGGTCAGTCGCTGGGGGGCCCTGGACACAACAGCTCCTCCAATATGATAGAAACATGTTTTCTTCTCTTTACAAACTAGAAAGTAACTTGACTCCATTCTCTAACCCCAAACGTTTTGGTTGTCCCGACTGTGGGTTGTTAGGTCTAATACAACAGCTAAATTGACTTGAGAAAGAAAAGATGTCTGCACAGCTTACAATTCGCTTTTTGTGGTCTACTGTGATATAGAGTTTGAGGTAAAAAGCTGACGACTATTGGCAGCAACTGGTGAAACAAAATAGTGTGTAATACATGTCCGTGCTGCATTAAAACCGTTTCAGTGTCTACAGTTTTGGTGAATATTGATGCAAACCGCGCTAACAAAACAGCGATGCAATAATTCAAATGTGGACAGAGCTTCTGGTCGTCTTAAAAATCCAGTTTCTGTCAATGATTAAAACCCCCACTTTTCTCACAGAGTAAAGTCCTAAACTCAAACGATCGTTTAATAAAGCACCTCATGATTTATGCATCGTCCTTTGATTTTACACAAATCCATGTGGGGTCCCGTCAACACCTCCTCTTACATAACATTTTTATCTGGGGAAGTTCTTGAGACCATAATTCATTTAGGCTATACTGTAGGTCATGACTTGTGTATGAAGTAGCAGACTACCCACAGTATGGGCAAGTATTTTAACACCTCCATTAGGGGCAATATCTCAATGTGAAGGCGTTTGCAGACAACTACAGCGAGCACATAATCAAACATTTTAGAGGCTAGTATTCTATTATTGTACATAGAGAATAGGCCTATTTTACTTTACTTACTACATTTTTGCAGCTATTTATTGTTAAAGTTATTCAAAGAGCCCTTTTTGAGCAATTCAGACCATTATACCAGACCACATGACTCTGCTCAAAATAAAAACAGCTAGTTGAAATAGCAGTAGATGATTGATGGCCTAAATGGGACGTTGTCAGATTTGTTAAACTTTCATTACATAACACAAGTTAAGCTAAGGCTAAACATAACATCTACAATCATAATTAGTCAAAGCTACCTGGCATTTCTGTTCAGCAACTAATCAACCTGATCATACATCAAAATGTTACATGTCTCAACACTACTCCACGTTATGAAATTTTAAGTTTTGTAGTCAATTGCAATCCAGGATACCCACTGCCTAATCTATGCCAGATGGTCAGACCAATTTTAACTTTCCATTTTTTTGGCAAATCCATACAATAAAATGTGTGATTAGTGAACACTGACCTTTATAGTTACACTCCGTCCAGTGCTGTTGTCGTGCATAAAGACCCGGAGCATGTGTGGGATGAGCTGGGGTAAGTAGAGCTTGAATTCCCCCCCAAGAGCCACCACTATCTGCTCAATCAGGAGGATGATGGTGTTCTGCATGGGGTTGTTGGGGGTCCAGTATTCCTACAAAATAAACAGATTCATGAAAAAAAAAAAAGATGCACCAAGATGGACTAAAATAACAGTTTTGATAACAATATTTAGAAATAAGCTTTAATCATATAACAATTTGGAAGATAATATCTCGATTTACATCTCATTTGCATGCATTAGTTTCATGTTGTAAGTTGAATTACAGAAGTAAGTGGAAAGTTTCACCAAAACCAGCATATTTGACTTTACCTCAAATATTAGTTGGGAGCTTTGTTTGTATTTTTATATTGAGGAATCATGACAACGACTGGATTTATAGAAAAAAGTTCATCATCTATGAACCCAGTGGGGAAACCAGTGAAAATCTTTCATTGAATTTCCAGAAGTAACCAATAAATTATTGCATTAAAAGTGACCTAAATACATGTCCAAAAGTTCATTTTAAGCTTAAAAACTTTAACAATATTAACTAAGTTGATCCAAAACACTTGACCTCCATCTCCTGGTTTTGAAATAATGGCAGAGGGAATGGGGTCACCCACGTTTCCATCAATAACCAAAAGTGTGGATAGATTTACAAAGAAATAACATTTTCACAGGCCAGGATTAGTATGCTAAAAGTAGATGGCAAAGAATGGGGACAATTTCCTGTCGCAGGGCAGGGACATCACGTCTCTGTGCAACTCACGGCATCATATAGGAAAGTGTGTACATTTCACATAATGGCAGCTCGTCGGGTGGTTTTCGGAGTCACGCAATCCGTCAATCAGCCGGTGGGCCTCAGCTGTGAGATCTGGTGAGGTGTTTTCTGTCCTGGGGTCCCCGGCCGCCCCTCCGCTTCCTGCTCTGCTGCTAACTTACAGAGAGTGAGGTGAGGGAGCGTCCTAAATGGGTTATCCAGCCACTTCATCTGGATGCTGCACTTGGGCCGAGAAGCTGAGAATGAATGGATTCTTTGTTTTCGCTTGCAGTATATTAACTCGGCGGGACTTGACGAGTTACGGTCCGGTTGTCTCGCCTGCTCCTCTCCGGTTACCGCCACGTGCACCAGTGTCAGAACCAACCTCACCTTGGTTCAGACACAGGGCTGGTAACGTGAGATCTGAGCCCTTCATATGTGATTAGGAGCCAGGAAAAGATACATGTATGGTGAGAAGACTATGGTCAGTGACTGTGAAATGTACTTTCCTTATTTTACATTCCAACACATACAATTAAAACTAGGGTGCATGATTTTTTTTCTGAACAAATAATGTATTTAATTCCTCCCAGCTTGATTCTTTGATTTTTGTGAATTGTGGTGACAGTTTTTGGAGTAATTACATAAAACCAGCCGCAGCAAATACACGGACGTCAAAGGCCTTTTATCAATGCAGAGACGCCCTTCTGACGCCATGCTGAGCTTTGTGAGGGCCCCCTGCTGTCTGTCACACCCTTGTGTCTTCCGTGTCTTGCATCTGTATGACCTGCATTTAGACCATTGTCTGTCTGTTCGCACCTCGTTCCCAGACGGCGCCAAACGCTCCCCATGCGCCTCCTCACCGGTGGCCCCCTCCTATCTGTTGTGGGCGGGACTGTCTCTCGTGTGTGTCTTGTATACAGGAAACTTGGGGCTCTGGCGCCAGAGCTGGGACATGCTGCCTTTGAGTGGATGTGCTGGCTCTCCGCACGTGCGTTAACAATAAACTTACGCTTTTGATCAGACAAAGGACCTTTGAGTTTTCTCCTTCATGGGGTATATAATTCTATAACAATTTGGCGTTGCTGACATGTCTTGGCATGGATACTTTCGGCGGGGACGAGCGGCTTTGTTTGGCCGACCTGGATCACCAGCCTCTGTTCCCTTTTTGGAGACAAAGGAGGGCGCGCTCGTCCCGCGCACGGAAGGAATCCTTTTGCCACACAAGACCAAAAAGAACCTAATCTGGTGAGTCTTGTCTTTTCATCTGCGTAACGAGCCCAGGGCAGCCCTTAAGTCGACACGGGGATTTGTTTATTTATGTATTTTTGGGGTATTTCATTCATTGCCACAGCATAGTCTGTGTGCGGGATTTTTTGGGGGGCTTTTTGTTCTAGATTGAAGCTAGCGGCTGCGCGTTAGTATCGCACTGTAAGCGACCCTGGAATCTCTGAGTGTCTTCAGCCAGAACCGCTCCGTTTTCAAGAACGCGCGCTCGCTGGTTGAACCAGCGGGGGGGGGAACGGAGCGCCCCAAAGTGGGTAGGAGCAGGGAGAGACTAAGCGGGTTAGGCCCATTGTTCGTACGAGAAAATGGGTAAAATCAATCTACAGATGCAAGCTATGAAGTGCTTGCCTATGGTGCAGGTCATCTGCGTGATAATTTAGAAGAAGAAGGGAAGAAAAAAAATATACTTGGTTTTAAGAATATCACGGCAAAAGAGGTTAGAGAAAGAAATATGTAAAAACAATAGCTCCTCCGCCTTTCACCGAAGCGGAGAACACACAGGCGCACACACACGCCCTCTCTCACCTACTAACCCTTTCACACTAGGAGCAGAACTCCATGCTAAGTACGCGCCCAAACAAGGCGTTGGGTTTTTTAAAAAATGAAGCAGACTACTGTTGTCTCTTTTCCCTCTCCCTTATCCAGGTCTGTCGGCGCCTTTCCTCCGCGCTCTGTCCTCTGCCTCAAAGCACCAGCCCCAACCACAGGCGGCGCCCGCACCAGCTGAGACCCCGCGAGAAGTGGGCCCAAACCGCAGAAGAAGAAGAGGCGGAAACAGACACACGCTCAGGAAACCACAGAAGAAGAAGCGGAGGAAGCAGATATGTGAGACACCGACAACTGCTTTGGAGCACAGAGAGAAACTGCTCCAAATCCCGTGACTGTTCTCCACGGAGGGGGCAGCGTGATATACCAAACGCACCCGCGGAAACCCCCTTGAAAGTTGTTCCCGCACCGCAAACAGAAGAAGCCATTGTGACCGGCACGTTTGGGTTATTCACCAACCCTCATGGACCACATGCTAACGCTTTGGGCTACCTGGGCCTCCTGCGGACTTTGAAAAACTTCCACAGCCCGGCGGAAAGACTGTGTGCTCGACATGGGTCGAAGGACTGTTACCGGAGGAGGCGTTAAAGGCAGAGGGCCTCTCAAGCTCACACGGGGCCAGAGGACGGCAGAGGCGGGCACGGAGGAAACACGAGCGACTGACCAAACCTGGGTTCACATTCGTCACCAAAGCGACCGCTCATGTAAGTTGAACAACAACAAATTGCAATTGGCACTTTTTAGAGATAATTCATGCCCGTAATATACGCTAACAACCTGTGGTGTACAAGTTAAAATTCTGGATGACTCCGGGGCAACAAATTCTGTGCTAAAAGTGACAGCCTTTCTGTCTCCCCTAAAATGAGCGGCCGCTTCATATTCTAATTAGCAGCGTCGGAGAGACGACCAAAGAGCAATTTACGTCACCGCTAACGTGTTTTGATTCTCAGGGCAACCAGCTTAAACATTCTTTTCTATATTCCCCATTGTGCCCGGTTAATCTACTAGGCCGAGACCTTATGTGCAAACTCAATTTAAATCTGCTCTCAACACCAAGCGGCCTACGGGTGGTACACGCTGGTGAGCTAGCAAATGCTCCATGTTTCACCGGCAGGCATGAGGAGACACCGGTCCCAAAAGTTAACTACCACTGGAAATTGACACCAAACCCTGAGATTGCTAAGTTATTAGCCACAACAAGTGGATAGTGACGCCCGCACAAAATTTGGAGGTCAACCACGCGAACGACCTAAGCTGCTCTCTCCGGTCGTTCCCAGACAATAACTTAGAGTTTGAAAATTCATGGCTTCAGTGTAGTAAAGATAGGCTACAAACGGAGTATGTTTATTGGGATAGGCACCACGCTATGGTATTTGTGCGACATAATGAGCAACAAAAACATTTTTATCGTGAAACAAAGGTGAAGTATTAAAGTTTGAGACTAATTTACATTTTTAATGAATCCGACCTGGCTTTATTGAAAAAGAAAAAATAAGGAAAATAAACATTTTTTAGGTGACAAGAGCTCATTAGAGATATAGGGGACACCATTTGTGATAAGCCCGACTACAGACCACGTGGTAAACACTAAAGTTGGAAATGGATTTCTTTTTTTTTAGGAAAAATCTCTTAAAAAGCTTTGCATGTTCTGCAGGCTCTGAAAGTTGCAACAATATAAATAGCTCATGAGACAATTGTAATTGGACATGGAAAATATAACAAAGTTAAAATTACAGGCCTTCTGTGTGTGTTACATGTTTGTGTGTTATATGTTTTGTGTATGTTATATGTTTGTGTGTCATGTCAAAGTACACTACGCTGACCTTAACAAACTCTGGACCAATACTAACGTGGGGAATCGGCCTGTGATGTGACTGTGATATGAGTGTGATGTGAGTGTGGAGTGAAATGAGGAATGCTGAACGGAATCATGGAATAACAAATGTGTCTGTAATGTTTTAATGTGATCATGGAATAATTCTTTTTTGTCAACAGCATACGGTGTAAGTACTAGAGATTCAAAGATAACGACCTTTATTGAACAGGTGTAAAAGTGAGAGTACTCTGGGATGAGTACTCTGAGAAAAGTACTCTGCGGAAAGTACTCGGAGATGAAATACCTCGCTGAAGATATTGGGAGTTCCTCCCTCTGCTGTTTGCCCTGACAGTGATTCGGTCCAACCGCAGTGAGCGGTCATTGGGCGGAGGACAACTTTGCTTTGTAAACTCACATTTAGGGGAGTATAAAATTAGAAACATACATTTTGTTGTTCTGTATTTGGCTACAGCCTCCGCCCTGATGCCACACACCACCTGTCAATGCAGTTATGTTTTGCCCAATTGGAAAAAAGATTGACAAGCGAAAGTGGGCATTTTTTTTGTGTGTTTTGTGTTCTGATATTTCTTTTTCAGATGAGAGATAAACTACCCCTGCTCCAGGGATGACAGTAGTATGGATCAGGAGGAAATGAGCCTCCACTTTGGCACAAAAGCCCACAATATGAATTGAGGACGATCC